AACTGGTGATGGATGGATAGTGAGCAAACAGTCTAAAAGCATTCATCAAAAGGACTCTTCCCTTCCAGAAATGCTTGGTTAAGCAGGTTAGTCTTGCAGTTTTCTTGGATCCTGACATTTTAGGTTCATGCTGCTTGCCTTTTTATTTGACATACACAACAAGAGGAGAAGTCTCTGGGTGAGGGTGGAACAATCCGAGAGGAGTCCCATGCAGGGCAAGGGTGGGGACCAAGAGGTGAGGGGTGCCCCCACCCATTCTGCAAAGGCTGGGCTCTGTCCCCTGGAGGTCTGTTTGCTTTATGATTCAGACATGGAAAGGCTCTGGGGTGGATGAACATGTGTGCCCTTGAGAAGTCTCGAGTAGTTTCAACCTGTGTTCAAGGAGGAAAAAAAGAGAGATGCCAGTCCCTACTAAGTAGGGGTGGGAGCAAACCAGAGAGGAACCCAAATTGAAGATCTCTCTACTGAAGGTTCCCACTCAGGAGAAAAGTACTGACATCAAAACGATCAAAGAGGAACCAGAATGCCGTCTTCGTTCCTCCTTTCAAGTCCTTCCCTGACAGAGGAGGCTGTTAGGACAGCACACCATCCCTGTCACTTGCTGTTGGCCTTTGAGCAGGTCACGTCATCTCTCTGGGCCTGTTTTCTTATCTGAAAAATGGGGAAGTTGCAGTATAGGTTTTCAAAGAATGTTCCTTCAGAGCCCTGGGGGCCACCAGGGGAGGACCAGGGGAAGACTGGCCACGCCAACCAGTAGGCTTATATTTTATCAGGTGGAAGAAGTTCTGCTAGAAGAAATGAACTTGGAAATCACTCTTCTTGGTGATTTCTAAGGTGTTTTCCAGTCATTTGCTACTTTTTCTCCAGCTAGTCTTTTCTTACTAATTCAACTGACTGTGGTTTGGGTCTGAACTCGAGGTTTTGGCAGTCTCTCCCATGAGGGTTCAGGAAATAGATCACCAACATAACCTTCTTGAGGGCTGTTTCCCGCGCCAGCTGATTGTGGCGGGTGCGCCTAGAGGCCATTTGTCATTTTCACAAAGTTTGATGGAATAAAGTGGCTGACTTTAGAAAAGCAGCATCAGAACAATGTGGCTTTGAATGGGGCTCTCAACCCAAAGTGCTCTCTAAATGGAAAATATTATTACAGCAGGACTAATCCCTTTGTACAGAAATGAAACACAGACCCAGTCGTATAAATACATGGGCAGAATCAGCCAGATTTGACTCTGAATGGAAAATAGTTTTTGACAAGTAGGTCTGGGAGCCACAAATAAATGAACTAAGCAAGAGGTGGAAGATGTGACTTTGCCTTTTGAAGGAACTTGTGTTTGGGATGCAGGTGAATGGAGACACCGAACACAATGAGTGTGTGTAAGTGGGCTGAGTAACAGCTCACCTCCCAGCTCTGCAGATGGCAGAGGAGCCTGAAAGCAAAATAAGCCTAAATGGGTCACCAAATGCTTTTTGGTTGTCCTTAGTGATCAAGACAGATCTTCTCTGCCCAATCAACCTTTTCATCTAACACAGAGATTTTACAGATTTTTACCCCTACAGCAGGGAGGAGGTAAAGGCGTCCGGTCAGGCACCACATAAATCCTTGTTATTAACTGTGCCAGAGCTGCATGTGTGGATAAGTGGATTCACCACTTATTTTAAAAACAAACCAGAAACAGCTCTGCATTCCTTCTCATTTGCTGGATCATTTGTGTCTAGGTCAGTGACTTAGAGAATTCTATGGACTGCTAAAACTTTTATCTTTCTTTGAAATTTTCCATTCCTCTGATGGAAAGCTCATTGCCAAGCAGACTTTGATTTCCTGGGGACCCATAAATAGGGAATTTGTTTTGAGCTGTGATGTTGGGGGTTGGAGGGGGCTGGAGGGTACACCTGGGCCAGAGTAAGGAGATTTGGGTTTAAGCTGAGGCTTTGTAGCACGTTATCTGTGTAACCTTGGGGAAAGTGACTCCACTTCTTTGAACCTCAGTTTCTTCACTTGTCAAATGAGGGTGAAAACTTA